ATATCTTATAGGTATCTGATCTTTTGAGTATCAGTTGTCAGAAATGGCAGGTTATCGGGTTTGAATTATGGAACAGACATGGTGGATCAATTTTTTATCAGTTATAACAGGTTATCAGCTTTGACAGGATTGGTTTTGGAAGGGTATACTGTATTAGGTTTTCAATTATCTTTGTACCAGATACCAGGGACACAGAAAAAGTGCGATTTTGTTTATAGGATTTTTAAATTTTATAAATAAAATCACACTTATTCTCTGTCTCTGCTTGTCTTGTACAAATATAATTAGAGGCTGATGATAGATTTTTCTTTGATAGTACTTATAAATAAATAAATATATATTATGTCCTATCTTGAAATTATTATTATCATTTTCATTTTCATTTTCATTTTTACTTTCATTTTCATTTTGAATATCAGGAAATTTCTTTGAACCTCTTCAAGTCTTTCACTTTGCTTAGGTCGCATAAAAAAATTAATTAATCATTTAATTCTCTTAACCAATATTTTTGCTGGAATTAGTCCTCTTGCGATTACAAGTTGTAATGTATGTGATATACAATTTAGCTAATTAACTTTTTCCATATTCGATATAGCATTTTTCACATTATGGCCATTATCTGTAGTAATAATAAATGTTTTATCCTGAATTTTCTATTTATCCATGATATTTCCTAATATTTCACTTATATGATCGGCTGTATGGGAATATCTGATATATTTTATTGTAAGGACAAACTCACACCGTTTATAATCATTATTAATAAAAGAACAAGTAATACCGAAATAACCCTGACGGCTACGAGCCGTTCATAAATCTATACATAATGATACTGAGATTGCTTCATTAATTAATTTTTCTTTAAGGATTGGCAAACTATATTCATAGGCAGTATAAATTAATTTTTAACTGTTTCCTTACAAGGCATAATAAAAGTGGAGTCTAAATCATTAATGAACTTGCTGAATGCCTCATTGCTTACAACATAAATTGCTTGTGAATCTTTTATAACCCATGTTGTAAGTGACTGTCTTAATTAATTTTGCCAGGCCTCAGAATGTTTTTTAATATTTGATACACCTTGCTTATTATTCTATTAATATTAATGAATTAACTATATAATTAGTAATATTACGTAAAAATATTAAATATTAACTAATCTAGTAATAGACTTAATTACAAACTTTAGTTTTTCCTTGTTTAGTTATTTCATGCATATTTTGGAGATGCACAATTGCATTTCCTGTTGATCTACTAGTATAGACATATGATGTATCATAATTAGTATTATCATCATTTTTCTCTTGGCAAACAATTATTGGGATCTTTTCTCCATCTACGTCTCTAATTTTGGTTTTCTTGAAGTGCTGCCAGATCCAACTAATCTTGGAGCATTTATTACCTTTGTCTAAAGCTTTTTTTTTTGTTTGAAGACTTAATTGAAGTAGAATTATTGGAATGTTTTTCTGACATTTTGAAAAAATAATACTGAAGAATAAAAACTCTGACAAATAATATACATATATATATTTATAGACCATTAAATAACTAATAGTGCTTTATTACGTTCATAGTCTTAAAAATATTACATATGATATATTATTATTATTATTCTGTTTATTAATCATAAAGCAGGTATGTTGCATACAGTAAATTAATATCCGGGTCTAAAGATACAAAGATTGATGTTAAAATTAACAGAGATGGTAATTTAAGTCTGGATATTAATATGGGTAGTCTTTATTGTTATAGGGCTTTGGGACTTTTTGATTGATTATTTATTAGACGAAAACTTGACCCTCTCGATCAAATTTGTTTTATTTGAAATGAAATTATATCAATTTGATCAATATTAGAGATTGAATATTAGGATAATAATTATATAGGCAGATATATATATACATATAATACCCGGTCTAATTAAAATTAATAGGGATAATAATTAAGTCTAGTTTAATTAGGCAAGTACGTACATAATATCTGGGTCTAAATTGACATATAGTAAACAATAGCCACCACTGCGCTATTGTCTATTAAACTGTTTGATAGTCTTTAACAATAGACATAAAAACCCTCGCAATTGTCTTGCAGTTTATCCAATAGTTTAAAAAATTCTTATATGTACGTACAGTACTTGTTCTGCACCTTGTCCAGTACTTGAAATAGATTTTCTTCAGTGTTCGAATTATTGAGTTTGTGTAGAATTACACTATATTTCTATAGAGTACGTTGATTCTTATATAAAATATATTAAGTATCAGATGATTTATGATTGCATCATCATCGTGAAAATCATATTATATCATCGTCTGTCTTATTTTTTTTAATCTATTATTGTATAAAGTAATCCAACTAACATGAGCTCTTATGCTTTCAAATTTTACTTGTGATTTTAATTTCCGTTATATTTAAAAGTTGATCTTTTAACATAA